TTTGGGAGGCGCGCGGCGCACAGTGCTATGTGCGTCGTGGTGTAGGGTATAACGATTGGTTTAAGTCTTAGTGAAGGAATAGAGCCAGTAGCATTCAAAAAAAATATTCTTTTGTGTACTTTCTTTTTTTTTTCTTTGTTTTTTTTCCCAAGACATAATTATCCATCAATTAAACTCTTATCATTTGTCCTTTAATTTTTATTTTTGCAAGTCTAAATCAAATGATGATACATATCTTATCTTAATCTTAATCATTATAAAATGTTAATAGTATAAAATGTACATTGAGTATAGTAAAAAGTTAATAGTATTTAAATTATAAAATTGGATATTATTTTTGGAATGAAAGGAGTATCTTTTTGAATATAATATACTTTTTTATGAGTGTATAAAAGAATATTACACTCTATAATATTATGTGAATTGAACTTCTATAATATTTATGAACATTAGATATTAACAAAATATACAAGTGCCAAGGACCTTGTGGTTCACTGGCACCAAGTTGTTCTCTTATGTGAGAGGTTGTTGGTTCGAGCCTCTAGAATGAGAAAGTAGTTTGAATAGATACTACAATATAACATAGTCATTTAGATTGAAAAAGTAGTTTGAATAGATACTACAATATAACAGAGTCAGTCAGTGGAGGAGATATTTATTATGTGCGTTTTAGTAAAGAATTAATTTCACTTTTGGTCCCACGACTTTTGAGTTCATATCACTTTTGGTGCACAACTTTAAATTTTTTCAATTTTGGTGCCTAACTTTGTTATTTTTATCAGTTTTGGTCCTTCCAGCCAAATTGACGGTAAAATATTTCTGGATTTTATATTTTAGGGGCAAAATCGTCATCCCATGGAAAGATCTTCAATATTTAAACAAAAGAAAAATCATATTAAGAGGAAAAGAAGAGTTTGTCAATGGTCGAAACTATAAATCCCATAGATCTGTCTGGTTTCTGCCCGTCTTCCCCATTATTTTCATCGTCAAACACCTATAGATATAATTTTACAGTGATTTTGTTTAGATATTGAAAATGTTTCCTTGGGATGACAATTTACCCCTAACAATATAAAATCCAGTAACATTTCGCTGTCAATTTGGCCGAAAGGACCAAAACTGATAAAAATAACAAAGTTAGGCACCAAAATTAAAAATTTTTAAAGTTGTGCACCAAAAGTGATAGAACATCAAAAGTCGTGGGACCAAAAGTGAAATTAATTCTTTTAGTAAATTGAGAAAGTAGTTAACGTGAACTCAAAAAGAATATTAAGTGCTACCTTTTTATGGAGTTCAAGGGTGCGATGCAATTTTTTATTTTATTTTTTATTTTTTTTTTTGTGTGTTCGATGGATAGATTGGGAGAGGTCTCGTTTCGAAGAACCTCTCGTGTAGCCTGAGCTTTAGGGTGTGTTTTGATCTGTTTTCGGGTAACCCCCTCCTATCTGATGGAAAAAAAATTTTTTTAAATAATTCATGGGCTAAAATGGTGCTCCCTTTCATGGGGTTCAAGGGTTCGATGCAATTTTTATTTTTTTTTTGGTTCGATAATGTAATTAAATTTTTTTAAATAATTCATGTGTTAAAATGATATTGTTTTTCTAATTTTAATCTACATCTACAAACCTAATAATAAGAACTAAAAAATGATAGTGTAATTGTTTGTTGAAATGAAAGGTTCATAACTTCATATTATTTTGATTTTAGTATTTTTTTTATTATTTTTTCTATTTTATATTTTTACCCTCTATTATATCATGGGAAAATGGCATTTTTTCCCCCTGTGTTATATGCTTATAGCACTTTTTCCCCCTGAGTTATTCATGCATTCACATTTGCCCCCTCAATTATTAAAGAAGTGGCGGTTTTTCCCCCTGATAATATTAAATGGACATTTCTACCCTTAAAACAAATATTTTATTTATTTCTCTTCTTCACCAAATTATTGCTTATACGTAGGGATGACCACGGTTCGGTTCGAACTGAACAAAACACTATAGCAATCAAATTAAAAAATTTCGGTTATGATTCATAACATAACCCAATATTTGGGTTTCCGTTTATTAAAATCGTGAACTGGAAAAAATGGATCCTGAACCGTGAATCGGAGGTTCAAATCGGAACAACTACTAGCAATAGCTTAAATTAGAATTATAATATTTGCAAATAGTGTATTTTTTTCCGCATTTATATTGACTCTCACATATAAGTATATATAATCGCGATTTGAGTTTTATTTTGAACCGTCGGTTCACGATTTTGGATCCAATTTGAATTGTTGGTTCAAACTTTCATTTAAAATTTTATTTTTTTATTTTTAAAATATTCTAAATTTAACACTTAATGTATTTTATTTTTTCAAATCGTGGTTATAATTTGTTGGAGAAGAAAAATAAATGAAATATTTATTTTAAGGGTAAATATGTCCATTTAATATATTAGGGGGAAAAACTGCCACTTAAATAATTTAGGGGGGAAAAGTGCTATAAGTATATAACAAAGGGGGAAAAAGTGTCATTTTCCCTTATATCATTTACTTTTTCTTAATATCCCTGTATTCTATTAGTGTAAACTTTAGTAACGGAATATTCCGTTAACTATTTATTATTTTTAACTTACTCATTGATTTTCATAAGGAAGATCTTAGGTTTGAACCTCATCCCAATCAAAATTGACATAATTGTTAAACATATACTATGAATATGTTAAAGTGTGTTTAAAAAATATAATATAAAATTTAACATGAACGTTGGTCAATTAATTATAATCATGCATTGAGCATTGATGAAACGGTACACCTAATTTACAGTATATATTCAACACAAATAAGCTGAGAAACTATACATATTATCATTGTCTTTTTGGGTTATGAGGATTTGGTTATGTTTTTTAAGTGCACTGCGCCAAGACACTAAAATTGCAGTGAAGCAGACTAGAGGACTAGATCAAATCAAGAATTCATTTCTAGCGGAAATGGCAACAAGAGAAATCATGGATCACGCCAATTAATAGGGTTTTGTATTGCAAAAACTATACTCATGGTATTATCCAGTGAGAGTTATTTTCTCTAAAATTACTATTGTACCAGTTAATCCAACATTTCTGACATATGTCATAGTTACGAATTCTTGAAATATTTACTTTTATAAAAATTTGATATTTTGCATTAATATACATCAGTATATCGAATGATATTTTGATAAATTATGAAACACTAATTTAAAAATACACATTATGAAACACTAATTTAAAAATACACATTAAGCATCAAATTATATATTTGTGCAATGCGCATGTGATAACTACTAACTAGTTATACCAATTTTTTGAATGCTACTGGCTTTGTTCGTATACTTTCTCAACCTACTGAAACACAAAGAACAAATAACGCCCAAGGCTTGAACTCACAACCTTTCAAATGGAAGTCTAACCCGGGTACCATTAGACCACATAGTCCTGGTAACTAGTTATACCAATAGATCTTGAGCTTTGTTAATATTTTCCGCATAATAATTAGTGTTAGTTTTGACTAAGGCAGCTTGCAACAATAAACTTCGATTTCGACCGTTAAAACTTAAAAAAGCTTCATTTATTTTAACGGCGATGTTATCTAATCCAACCGTTAATTGCTATGCCTAAATGCCAACTTGTATCCCGTACCAAATTATATTCCCTTTCAATTATAGGCCATTTGATTGCAATGAGAGAATTAAGAGAGAAATAAAGTATAATTTTGTGTGAATAGAATAGTGTGTGAATAAAGTAAACATAAACTAAAAATTTTAATTATAGTGTTTGATATATATAAAAGAATTAAAAGATAATAAATAATTTAATTATTAAAATGTCCGTGTAATTTATAATTTCTAAAAAAATATGTAAAATTATTAGAAATGACAATTTCATCTTTAGATTATAAATTTTCTTATGATGTATTATAAAATTGTAATTCTTACGAGAAGTGGGCCTCGCAATTATTCACATTTAAAGAATTGTATGAAATTATAATAAGCATTCAAAAAATAATAATAATTATAATAATTTCTTTTTCACTTCTTTAAGGGTCCGTTTGGAAAGCAGGGAAATAACTTCTGGAAAATGTTTTCTGGAAAATGAGTCATTTTTCGGAAAATATTTTCGTTTCCGGTGTTTGGTTGCATTCTGGAAAACTGTTTATGTGTGTTTGGTTCATTTTCTGGAAAATGAGTAGAATTGTACAATTAAACATTTTAATTATTTTATTTAGAATATTACAACATGTATAATAATATATAATAATAATATAATAATAATATAATAATAATTTTAAATATAATAAAAAAAATAACTAATAATATATCAAAAATATTATGGTGGTGGTGGTAGCAGCGATGGTGGTTGCGGTGGTATGGTGGTGGTGGTGGTGGCGGTAGTTGCGGTGGTATGGTCGTGGTGGTGGTGGCGGCGGTGGTGTGATGGTGGTGGTGGTGGTGGTGGTGGCGACGACGGTGGTTGCGGTGGTATGGTGGTGGTGGCGGCGGCGGCGACGATGGTTGCGGTGGTATGGTGGTGGTGGTGGTGGTGGTGGTGGCGGCGGCGGTGGTGGTAGTGGCGGCGGCGGCGGTGTGATGGTGGTGGTGTGGTGGCAACGGTGGCGACGACGATGGTTGCGGCGGTATGGTGGTGGCGGTGGTGGTGGTGGTAGTGACGGTGGTATAGTGGTGGTGGCGGTGGTATAGTGGTGGTGGCGGCGGCAGTAGTGGTGGTGATGGTGATAGTGAGGTGGTGGTGGTATGGTGTTGATGATGTTGGTGGTGGTAGTGATGTTGGTGTAAAAGGTGGAAAATGACTTCCCCAAAAAAAGGGAAGTCATTTTCCTCCAAAACAAGCCTATTTTCCAAAGTCAACGGAAATCATCCGTTGACTTGATTTTCCAGACACATCCAAACAATGGAAACTTGAAAAATGATTTCCAGAACTCATTTTCCAGGTTTCCAAACACACCCTAAAATTAAGTGAGAAAGAAATTCCTTTCTACCAAACAAGCCATTAAGGGTGGCCCACCTTTGCATGTTGCCTTTTCGTACAACAAGGAGCGCACCCGGTTGGATCCAGCTGTAGGCCTGTGATGAAGCTCTGTTGTCAACCCTCTCTCCACCGGTATTCGCCGGTAAACGTCTCTCCTACTCATTTTTCCGTTACTCTCCCCCTTCCTTATATGGACTGAAAATCTCTATTCATTCTCAATTATCCTATTAACTTTTTCGGGTCGGGTTCTGCAACTCTTTCTCTCTGCAAACGATAGAACCCTAAATTAGGGCTCACAGTTTGCAGCAGAGATCGTAAATTCGCTGATTTTATAAAATCGGTCGGGTATGGAGGACAAGAATGGCGTCCCAGAATTGCCGGCGAAAGATGTCGACGTAAATGAAGAATCGCAGGAGTACGGGAAACGGGGGTGCTGTTTTTGGATTCCTTGTTTCGGGTTCGCCGGCGGGTCGTCGGTTCGGACTTGGGAGCTTATCTCGACGTCGGAAAATCCAAAGGACGAGACGACGAGCAGTTGGTTGTCCAAGAGCGTTGAAGCGGTTAAGAAGGTCCGAGAGTGGTCGGAGGTGGTCGCCGGGCCGAAATGGAAGACTTTCATCCGGCGGTTCAACAAGAACCGGTCGAAAACCGGGAAGTTCCAGTACGACCCGTTGAGTTACGCCTTGAACTTCGATAACGGGCCGGATCATAACGGCGATTGGGAGGATAGTGTTGCGTACCCTGATTTCTCGTCGAGATATGCGTCGTCGATGGACTTGGGCAAGAACGCTACTGCGACATTCACGTGAACCACCAACGTGGGGTTCAATTGGACGAGAAACGCGGCGGAGAATTCGGTGGGCCGGTATAATCTGACACTGAGCAGTCAGTAGATTCTGGTCGTATAGTTATTTTTGTATACAATAAATTTCATAGTGATGGGGTGGTACAACTTACAAGTAGTTGACAGAGGTCTTTTTTTTTTTTTTTAATTATTTTTTATTTATTTTTATTGGGGGGGTCTTTTTTCTTTATTCATTCGTTATTTTAGTTTTTCTCATTGATGAAAATTGGAGGCGTGATACGAAAATTTGTTTTTATAGACATTAAAGTTTACATCTAGGTCGAATATTCACAATTTACATATTAAATGTTTATAATTTACCTTTTAAATTTCACAATTCACAATTTGTATACTACGAATACATAATATTAATATATATGTAATTGATTACCTTGTTTTGTACAGATGTCATATGTTTTGATTTAAAAACACATTTTATATTCTAAAAATTCACAATTTGAATATTAAAAATACACAATTTATACGTTGTTTAAGATGGTGCTCCTTGCAAAGTTGCAATTGGACCCTGGTCCATGCTATAACAACTCTAAGTTCACTGCAATGGTTTAAATAACAATTATTCCTCAAATTGATTTCATTATTTCTTAGAATTCGGTTGGGTGATAACATTGAACTTTTTAATCCAAGTCTCAATACTTTATACAGTTAGTTTATAGCCCATTTAAATTGATTTCAACACTTTATCTGGCAAATTATGCCATGAAACATAGTCCACCTTTTAAAGTGGACACGGTTTCAAAATTGTTCATAATTATAAATATATAGTTTAAAAATTATGAACATATAGTTTTATAATTATGAACATAGAGTTGTGAACATAATTATGAACATATAATTATGTAATGTAATTATGAATATAGAAATTCAATAATTGTGAATATGAAGTTCAAAAATTATGAATATATATAACTTTATAATTATGAACATATAATTCAGTAATTATAAACATATAGTTCAGTAATTATGAACATAGAGTTCTGTAATTGTGAATATAGCGTTCAATAATTATGAATATGAAATTCAAAAATTATGAATATATAACTTTATAATTATGAACATATAGTTCAATAATTATAAACATAAAACCGCATACATAACGATTCGGTTGGGTTCTTCAAATAATTTATAGCCCATTTTCCCTTGTTAGTTTTCATTTTTCCCAACGTATGCTAAAAGGAGGGAATATCTCAAGTCCGAAATAAATCATTTGAACTCTTAATTTATATTATCAATTTTTATTCAACTCTAACAAGGCGTTTGGTTGGAGGGGGAAATTATGTGGGAAAGGAATTGTAATTTCATGGGAGTTGAATTATTGGGAATAAAGTGGGAATTTAAATTCCAATGTTTGGTTGACAGGAATAGAATTACTAGGAATTTCAATTCCAATGTTTGGTATACATGGGAATTGAAAGGGAATTAGTAGTATAAAGTCAAAAATGTCCATTATTGTTGTTAGACATTAATTTTAGGTTAAAAAAGAAATGGGTAATTTTGACTCATCACTATCTTTTTTTTCCTAGGAATTAAAATACGGGACATGAGATTTTAATTCCATGAAAATGGGGGAATTGCAATTCCCTCCAACCAAACTACGGAATTTAATGGCCTTTGGAATTAGGTGGGAATTAAGTGGGAAGGGAATTTAAAATCCCTCCAACCAAACACTCTGTAATTCTTGATGAAGATACCTTATTGTTGTTTGCCATATAAGTAAAAGAAAGAAGAGAAATTAGAGGTACATGTAATAAGACTCTTCTGATTGCACATTCGGAAACCACAATTCCTTCACAGTTATGAGTATTGACATAGTATCCACCATTTCCTTTACAGCACGTTTGGTTCACGGAATGAATTTTGAGGTAATAGGAATGCTATTCCATAGGAATGGAATAGGCAAGGAATAGAATAGGAATTGTATTCTATTGTTTGGTTCGCGGAAGGAATAGACTTTAGGAATTATATTACAGTGTTTGGTTGATTTAAGGAATAGAAATGAAATATGTTTTAAAAGACATAAATACCCTTATAAAAATATGTGATGATGACGATGGTGGTGGTGGCGGTGGTAGCGATGGTGGTGGTGGCGGCGACGGTGGTGGTGGTGACGGTGACAGTTGACGGTGACGATTGTGGCACTGGTGGTGGGGGCGGCGACGGTGGTGGTGGTGGTGGTGGCGGTGCTGTTGGGTGGCGGTGGTGGTGGCGGCGGCGGCGGCGATGGTGGTGGCGGTGGTGGTGCTGGTGGCGGTGGCAGTGTGGGGGCGGCGGTGGTGGTGGTGGCGACGACGGTGGTTAAATAGGATAAATTTATATATAGGATAATAAAAATTAGGTTAAAGAAAGGGGTAAAAAAGAAAATAAATTCTAAAATCTATTCCTGAGTGTTCAGTAATATGCTAATACCAGGGGGGCCCCTAGTAATAGCTATTACCTTATTTGAGGTAATAGGCTATTACCAGGAATATTATTCCTGGTAATAGAAATGGTTACCAAACAAAGGAATAGTCATATTACTGGGAATGCTATGCCATTCCCAGCCTATTCCGTGAACCAAACGGGCCATTAGTAGTGACTAGTTTTTGCCCCGTGCGATGCACGGCATAAAATTTAAGTAACTTTATTATTGATAATATTTTAAAAACAATAAAATAAAATATTAATCATGAAATTAAAACTTATTCTAAAATGTATTTTTCTTTAACAATACTAAATTGGTTGTTATATTGAACATCACATACTGTTAGCGTATATGATAAAGAATGAGTTAATACCCAAAATCGTCCTCGACTATAGTGGGTTTTCTCAATTTCGTCCTAAGCGACTTTGGTGACCTAATATCGTCCCAGACTTTTGTGTTTCGCTCAATTTAGTCCTCCATTTGTTATTCCGTCAAATTGGTGTTAAATAAAGGGACAATTCAATAATGTCAATATTGATCTCTCTTTACTTTCATCTTGTGAAGTGCGAAATTCCTCTTTCTTGTACGAATTACACCCAGAATTACTCCCGAACCTGCAAATCAAATTTTATATTCGCAGTTTTAGGAGTAATTCTGGGGGTAATTCGTAAAAAAAAGGGGATTTCGCAGTTCACATGTCTATGAGTAAAGAGATGTCAATATTAAAATTACTGAATTGTCTATTTATTTAACACCAAATGGACAGAATAACAAATGAGGGACTAAATTGAGCAAAAACACAAAAGTCTGGGACTAAATTGAGCGAAACACAAAGGTTTGGGACGATATTAGGTCACCAAAGTCGTTTATGATGAAATTGAGAAAAATCACTATAGTCGAGGACGATTTTGGGTATTAACTCGATAAAGAATTGTGTTATAACATACCACATGAGATTTAAAAAGTGTACATTAAAATAATTACACACACACACACACACATTTTTATAAAAAAAAAAATTTTAATTAGGAAATCAAACAATATACAATAAAAAATTATGAAATTAAATTTTCTTATATATAAAAACATTTATTAATATGATTTGCAATTAAAGCCTATAGTACATATACTTGACAATATATAAATATATAAATAAAAAATACAGTATCATCATCATACATTGAAACTAACTACGAAAATCTTTTCTTAAACATTGCTTAATAATAATAATTATATACGTACAACATATATAAATCTAAACTAAATATGAAATATTTCATGACATGAAAGAAAAAATAAAGCTTGCAATGCTAAGCCCAATAAACATTTAATTATCCATCCATATAACCCAGTTACGTTGCATTTCAGCCCAATACCCGAGCCCATTAACCCAATTATAAAACCTGATTACCAAACCGTAATCCATATTTTTTGACGATTGCGCTTCCGTCTACTCCGTTGCGTTCGTCATTCTCTCTAAAATGTTCACTAACTTACGTGAACCTTCTCTGTTTCCGGCGTCTTGACACACTTGATTTTAAATCATCGCACGTCCAAGTAATCCACTGCTAAAAAACTTTTCAGATAATCTGACCGTAACTTTTGACCGTTGTGGAATTGCTTTCTTCCCCAAATGCCGATCTGAAAAATCGGGTGACCGGAGTAGATCTAAAACAAACTAATAAATACAGTATCATCTTCAGGTAAAACTTATTGTTTAAAACGAAATTAAGAAATACATCATATTTTCTAATTACTTAATATCAGTTCAATAATTATTTGTTTAAACTTATTCGTCTCTTCAATATTATTGTTCATGCAACTGATTTAAATTTTTAAAAACTTTTTTTCAATTTAGTAACTGATTTAGTAACTTTTTTAAAAAAAAAAAAAAAAAATTTCCCTCTCAAAACTATATTAGAATGAACAATTAAATTGTTGTCGATCAACAAAATTGTAAGAATAAAAAACAGGTTAATCTTATTTTTTAAAAATCGGATACTCTAATTTTTTTTTTCAGTAAACAATAAATTAATTTATATAATAAAATGTTAACTTAAAAATACTGGAATGTATTACCTACTTCATCATTAAAAAACAATAATTGTAGATTAACATGTATTGAAAATAGATAAGTATGCTGCATTATATACCTTAAAATGATGCAATTTTATTTAATTGTTATTTAATACCTTAAAATGATGCAATTTCATTTAGGCGGGAAATTGATTGGCAAAAAACATTTTGCTATTATATAGAGTAAGATTTTGTGGACGGAGAAACCATAAAGGAGGAAATTTAATAACTAATGCATTTGGTTAAACAATAAGTAGTAAAGATTGACATAAAGAAAGGGGAGCAAGTTTGAATATGACTTATTATTGTTTGTCAGTAAGTAAAAAAAAAAAAAAAACAGATTATTAAAAGTACATGTAATAGAACTCTGATCTTCCGATTCCACCTTTAGAAACCACCCTTCCTTCACAACTATGAGTATTGACATAATACACTTCCTTTTCATTAGTAGTGATTTTGCGGAAGGAGGAACCATAGATGAGGTAATTTAATAGCTAATGTATTCGGTTCAAATCCTCTGAGCAATGGGGAACAAAGATTGACATTCGTCATTTTGATATTTTGACTAAGTCAAAACACCTAAATCTTTGTTTGGTTATATCGGTTTGGAGCAGCATTTTGCTCCAAACCGCTAATAAAACCCCAAACGTTGCATTTTGTAACGTTTGGAATTGACGCTTTTGAAAAAGAAAATTATTTCTCTAAAACGTCTCTCAATATTTTTTTTCAATCACTGCTTTCATTGAAAACCCTTAGACTCCTTATGCTTTGCCCATCCGACGTGAGAAAATAAGATGGGCTTGACAGCTCCTCAAGGCTCCACTACTTTTATCACCGATGTGAAAAAAGTGGGTGGTAAATTAACGCTATTACAGAATTCCGATATAACATCGGATTTTTAACGTCGGCTATATACATAGCCGACGTTAAACCCTTTTTAATTTTTTTTTTTAATTTATAAAACCTAAAACGTCGGCTATTAATTAATAACCGACGTTATAGTGTTTTAAAAACAAATCTGGGACCATTTTTAGGTCATTTTCATTCGCACCGCGCAGAGCAGTCCCGACGACCCTTCTCTCCAGCCATCGCCCACTGCACAGCCACCGGCTATCGTCGTCGCCCACCGCCACACCGCATAACCACCGTCACACTGCCCCTTCTTTACATTTTCTCCGCTGTCCAGCCATAGCCACAATCGCATAGCTTCCCACCGCAGCAACGACAGCCTCCTCCGCCGCCGCTTCGCCACACACAGACGAGCCGCCGACGAAGTGCCGCACTGCCTTCCGCCTTCCACCGCACAACCTTCCGCAAGGTAAGTTTTTTATTTATTTATTATTTTAATTTCTAAATATTAGAATTACAATAATTATATTTGAAATTATTTATTAATTTATTTTGAATTACTATTAATTTATTTCGAATTTTAGTAAAATAATGTTGATATATTTGTATTTAAGGTTTATTGGTATATATTTTTTGATCTTCCATATTGGAAGACATTAGATGTGAGACATAATATTGATGTGATGCATGTGGAGAAAAATGTGTGTGATAGTCTTGTTGGAACTCTTTTAGATATAAAAGATAAGACTAAAGATGGACTCAATGCTAGATTAGACTTGATTGAAATGAACATACGAGCTATATTAGCTCCATGCCAAGGGGATAAGAAGACACATTTGCCTCCAATAGCTCATACTTTATCAAGAAAGGATAAAATAAGTTTTTGTGAGTGTTTACGTGGAGTCAAGGTACCACAATGATACTCATCAAATATCAGAACACTTGTGAATATGAAGGATTTAAAATTGGTGGGGTTGAAATCTCATGATTGTCATGCCTTGATGCAGCAACTATTGTCAGTGGTTGTTAGATGTATATTGCCAAAAAGTTGAGATATAGTATTATAAGGTTTTGTTTCTTTTTCAATGCTATATGTGGAAAAGTGATTGATCCAGACAAACTAGATGAATTGCAAAATGGATGACATTATTGTTACATTGTGTCAGCTGGAGATGCACTTTCGACCTTTTATTGATCAGACATTGGTTTATCTCAATTTCGTCTTATTCAACTGTTGTGACATAATTTAGTCCCATACTTTTATGAAATTGTTCAATGCAGTCTTCGATTTGCTTTTCCATCCTTCTGGTGTTATCACCAAATTAAGCAGGACTAGATGACACAATGCCAACATAAAGTTTAATGTCCATAATCATTATATTACAGACATATCATATTCAATAATATTCATCATGTACTATGTTTATAATATTTATTCTATATGTCCATACACTTAAACCTTAATATTTAGTGTTTAAATTATTTTCTGGAACTGGTGAAACAGACAGTTTTCGCGGAGGTTGCAGTCCGGAAAATGACTTCTGCCAAATTTTGGCGGAAGTTATTTTCTCCCTAAATAGCATTGTTTTCCTTTGACCCAAAAAATGATTTCCGTTGATTTCAATTTTTCAGACTCTTCCAAACACTGAAAACCCGAAAAATGATTTACAGAAATCATTTTTCGAATTTCCAATCGGACCCTTAAAAGATATCAATTAGAGCTTATAAATGATTTATTTTAAAAAAGGAAAGATAAAAATAATGTAAGTTATTAACAATGCATAAGAAAAAAAAAGTATGAATGTGTATGTGTGCATATTACTACATACACCTTGATCCGCGATATAATTATTAACTAGGTGAGGACCTACTTGCGGGGTCTCATACTCTCAGCCTCTTTCACCCCTATTAAGATGTGTATGTCTGGACCATTCTTAACGAAAGGTTAAGTGTTTGATTCTTCGCTTTGGGATGTAACAACTTTAAATCTTCAGGTCACCGTCCCACAGAAAAAATGTACTTACAATTTAACAAAGAATTAGTTATTGTGTCCGATGAATATCTAAGTATACCAAAAAAAACAAAAGAAAACAAGATGTGAATGTCTAGTTTGTACACTGGATGCTTGAAGCAACCTCAACAATAAATTTTTTTATTTTTTTTTTGTAATTTTTGCAATGACAACTGACAAGTAAGAAAGAGGGGAAGAGAAAAGAAAAAAAAAATCGACAAAAGAAAATAAAGAAATATTTACGCGCCTAGCTAATGTGTGCACACTAATTGGGCGCGACACGTGCACAGCTACACAACCTTTTATAAAAATACACAACCTTTTATATTTTTATTATCATTGAATGAGTCCCCAAAAAAATTAATTTACAAGATAAACAATCAACAAAAAAACTTCATCTCCCAACTCACTCCCATCAGTCCAAAAAAATCACCCTAATTTTTGTTTCTGAAAAAACCATCAGCCCTTTAATCCATTTTGAAATCCTTGGAATGGTTTCAAGGGCTGTGAAACAAAAACCGTATAATACACAAATTAACAAACTGTAGTAACAAATTCTTTATAAACAATTAAACTATAATACTTCTACTTCACACAAACTCAGTTTTATCCAACCCAATTTCTTCTTCTTCTTCTTCTTCTTCAAGTAGTTCTATTTAGGCGATTGTTGCTTTGTTGGAGAAGACTTACCAGTGATGACTTTCTTCACTTTTGCAATTGAATGCTTCACTTTCGATCCAACTCCGGACAGAATGTTATGATGTTTCTTCTTACCGGCTTTTACGTCAGCATCTCCGGCGGCGGCGGCGTTCTCTACAATCACCGGAGCTTCAGGTCCCGAATCTTCTCCCTTGTGTTCTCCTCCTTCCTCTTCCTCTTCCTCATGTTCTTCTGTTTCCACTTTACTTGCCTCATCTTCCTCCTTGTACAAAATGACCTCCCTTTCATTCAAAGAAGCACCTGGAAGGCCCGCCATGGAAGAAGCTTCATCACCTGCCTCTGTGGCCGTGCGCCTTTCTTTTGTTTCTTCCTTAGGCAGCTGTGATGCATTTATGTTGTTATTTGTTTCTTTCTCTTGCATGCTTTGAACAATATCATTAGGATAAGCAGTTTCCATATTTTTAGTCTCATCTTCTTCTTGCATGCTTTTGATCTGCTCCTCATTTTCAGCTTCATTATCTTCAGATTGTTTTGGTTTCAGTATCTGTTCTATGGATTCCTGCAGGATGGTTGATTGTGTAAGAGAAGTATCACCCAATTTTTCTCTGGAATGGTCAACCGTTCTTTTCTCTTCTTGGAAAACTAGCCCTTCAAAATTGTCCTTTGTCTCTCCAGCATTCTCAGGCTTCATCTCCTCTAAATCATTATGGGTAGTTGCTGCTTTTGAGTTCTGTTGCATTTCTTGTGAATCATTGCCCTCACTTGAAGTCCTGACCTCTGTGTTTTCATGTGGATATGCTTCTGCTGGAAACTCTGTATCCAATACAGCAACCTTACTTTCATGTTGTGCTAGTTTGTCATCAATGTAATTTTTTATCTCTGTAAAATCAGAAGGAAAATCCCTTGGTTGTGTCATTTCTGAATCCTTGTGGGTAAAATCACAAAGCTTCTCAGTTTGGCTTTTAGTATCTTCATGTTCTGTCACTTGTGAGGACTCATCTATTGATCCTAGCACGAGATTGGAATCTGAAAGGGTTGATGATTCCATTGTCTGGGATCTGTCTGTTTCTTTATTGACTTCCACTTCTGTTTTCGCATCTACTCCACATTCTAAACCTGCTGCTTCATTGGAAGCAGCTTCCGTTGCTTCATTCTTGGATCCTTTCTCTTCAGAGTCAGTACTGTTGTCATTCTGGATCTTTGCTGGATCTGCTTCATCATTTTGTAGTTCATATGGATGACCTGGCACATGCTCTTGTGCACTCTCAATGATGTCAATGTTATCTTTGACATCTTTTTGTTCTGTCTCTGTTGATGAGTTCTCCACTGCTGAATCTTTGATGTTGAATGAGAAATCAAGGTTCTTTTGTTGAACTTCGGTTTCTCCATCTTTACCCATTTCCATGGCCGTTTCTCCATGCTCCTGTGTAAGGCTCTTGATAGCATTTTCTTCAGCTTCTGCTTTGTTGTCACTGCTGGCTTCCTCCTGTTCAGGAAACATATATCAGAAGGTTTCAGATTGTAGTGACTATATAGAAAAGGTAAAAAAAAATCACTTCTGTCCCCTAACCTTTATGCTTTCATTTTCCCCTAATCTCTCCAACTCATTTTCTTCTGGCTTCAGTTCAACTTCTCGGTAGGCATCTAGGCTTAGGACTTCTTCAGGGTAATCCAGAGAAGACTTTACAATCACTGATTGATCAGCAATCTGGGTCTGAACAGTCATAGTAAACAAATTTTAACATGCTGTAGAAGAAAAGGAACAAATGAATTATATTGGTTATACTAGAAAATTTTATTCGTGGTGTACACTCACCTGCTCACTTGAAATATCTGCTTTTATGATATCATTTTCTTCATTTGTTTCCTTGATCACGATTTCCCCAGTCTCTGTTTCTGCCAGGTTTTCTTCCACAAAGCCAATCTTTTCTGCTTCTAGTGGCATTTCCAGCTTGTGAACTTCTGATGCAGATTCAATAATATGGTCAGACTTCTCTGACCATCCTTCAGAATTTATCACAGAATGCTGTTCTTCTTCAAGTAAAATGTCCTTGGTCACCATACCTTCCCTTGTCCCAAGTGGTGAAGAAGTTTCAGCAATGGTAGTCTCATTAACTATTTTTGTTATGGGGTTTTCTTCCTCCAGTGAGCTTGCAACTTTATCATCAGTTATAGACAAACATGCTTCAATCTGCTCTTCATGCAAGCTCATTTCTCTGGTATCCGTATCTTCCCCTGCAGCCACAGTTTCTATATTCACTTTCCTATTCAAGCTGGAGTCATTTTCCTGATTAGGTACTGTATCTGTTTCATCTGTGTCCACCTCAATTTCATTTCCAGTAACTACATCTTTCTCAGAAGTCAGACCACTACTGACTGGAGCTATTTTTCCTTGCACTTCAACAAGTTCTGTTTCCATTTCCCGAGTTGCTGCCATAAGTGGTTCTGCTGTTTCTGAGATTTGATCTTCATTTTCCTCAGATGTCTTGAGCAATGAGAAGTTTTGAACATGACAATCCTTTTCTTTTGGAAGCATTTTCTCTTCTGACTGCATAGTATTTTGAGCATTGGTCAAAACACATATTACTTGCTCTTCTGTGTCAGCATGTGTAGTCTGAAAGTTGTGGTAGTTGGCCTCTTTGACTGGTTCCTTAATCTGTCAAATCAATGTGTGTTACCGTACAAAGTAGGTGATGGAACCTGAGAGGTATCTAAATAATAAACATTTGTATAGATGCTTACCTCTTCTTTTGATTCCTTAGCTTCTTCTTCATTGCCTCTTGGGATTCTGCTGTTTAAACTTTCCTCTTTGTCTATTATGGTGTTAGAGCAAACACAGTCTTTGCTAATCTGCATTACATACCAGCCCTTGTTAGTGAATATGCACATATGACAAATCATAATATGGAGCTTTGTGTTATTATATTTTTCCTAAAGAAACTATAGAAATTTTTTACAGTAAATTAGAGCATGTTGCCTATCAAATATCTTGGCATGTATTTTAATCTAGAGTATGACTTGCCTCATTTTCTATTCCTTTGCTCAAGTTTCCTCTTACTTCAGATGCTGCTCTCTGAGAACCATCCTGTTTGATCTGATCCTCTTGATTTTTCATGTCAGCTACTTCTTCAAGGCACATCTCATTACTGTTCTCACCTGTGTCTTCAGCTACATGAATATCAGCTGGACATGCTGATATCAGGTCCAAGTCTGACTGCCCTTGCGCAGATGTATCACCTAAAACTTCGATTTCAGGAATTTTGTTTGTCTCATATGCATACTTTAGCTCTTGTGTAGGCATATCAGTTGCTGTATAGATTTGTTGCTCGGGTTTTTCATCAACCGTTGAATCGTTGGCCCATTCACTGTTTTCATTGCCCTGAATACTCTTTGCTTCATCCAAATCAACGGTTAACATATTCTGCCAAAAATAATTTGAAGGCTTTATTGGACTTTTGATTTAGTGAATTAGAAACAAATGTATATTATCTATGTAAGTAATTGAAAGTTGGGGAAAAAAAGATGAAATTCACAATGTTAATACAATTCTCACCGTTTCCTGTGGGTTTGTCTCTCCGTTATTATCTGAATGGGCTGCTTTATCCTCACTTTCTCCTCTGAGTACTTCATCATCTTTTACTGAAATAAGTTCCTCATTTGAAGCTGTTTGATCAGCATTTTGAGGTAAAGCTGCCTTTTCAGTCTCCTCACAAGGTGCATGCAAGTTCTCTTTTTCTGATTCATATTTGAACAAGGAATCTTCTGAATCCACATCATCTTTTGACAGTTCAATTGTGTCTTGCTGTTCCACTTCACTGATGACATCATGCACAACAACAGTTTCATTTTCATCTCTATGTAACCCTCTCAATTCTTCTTCAGAAGCCTGCTCCTCACCTGCTCTTGTTATATTTTCCTCTTGCACTGTAACAGAGTCATCAACTATGTTATCCTTTTCTATAATCTTGCATTGGTGATCTTCTTTATTTTCATCCATGTGTACACCATCCTTTAAAACTGTTCCATGGACTTCTATTAATGGTGCAGGGTCAGCAATCGTTTCACTTACTGATGTACCCTCACCGGAGCCAGTCTCTTCGATTTCAGGAGAAACCAATTGGCTTCCAAGCAAATCATTAACTCCCTGAATGGTTTCTGTTTCCACCTCATCATGTTTAACAAATTCATCTTCCATTGTATCAGAACTCGCTTTGGTTGATTCAGGCTCCACCTCACTGGATCCAACTTTTTCTGAGCTAGTCTCTTCTATTGGTGAAGTGCTTAAGGGGCTGCCTATCACATTGTGAGCATCCTGGCTATCACTACTTTGACTCTGTATTTCCATAAGAGGAATTTTGCAAGTTTCAGCCAAGCTTTCTTCCTTTTTCACCTTACCATCTTCCTTGTCATCATGTGACTCCACTACCAAAGAATCCATATTCTCACCCTCTGGAATGAAATCCTTGTCTTGTTCTTTATCTGCTATTCCCTGGGCGTTTGTTTCGTTGGAATCATCATTGGGAAAACTTGTCTTAGTAGCCAGGATACACTGTGTGTTGTCATTTTCATTACAAACTTCTCCTGATTTCTCACTATCTTCTTTCAAATACTCTGTAAAATCAGCTGGACAATTTATTACTGCATCAGCCTGAACAAAGGTTTTTTCTGGTGGCATGCCTTCATCATCATCTGTTTCTAATGCTTTTGATGGTTCTTCAGCTTCTGGTTGAGATTCTCTGTTCTCTCCTTCTGAGAATAATTTTCCCGACAGTTCATCTTCTGTATTGCTTGGGTTGTCAGTGGGTTCTGTAGACCTGTTATTTTCTTCAATAGTATCCTTGGCAACTGAGGGTAATTCAATCATCTTTTCACACTCAACTGTTCCATCACTACCTTCCTCACTGCTTTTCGAGATTTCAGGAGGATTGCCAATCTCAACCTTTTTGCTTTCATCTGGGGCAAGCTTATCCAACATAACCTCATGTTCATCTGGCAATGTTTTTTCATCATTCTCTTTTTTCTGCATAGAAGAAAGAGGCATTTTATGTTAAATGTAATATAAAAACTAAAGGTCCCTAGCTCATGCTTGAAAATGTTAGAAACGCATTCAAGTGTGAAGTATTACAATAATTTCTATTTTTATCACCTTTCCAATGGCAGTTAGCACATTTTAGTTCATACTCAAATCTGATAATAGATATTCAGTTTTTCGTTTCCCCAGAGAGAGAGAGAGTGAACATAATGATTCTCAAGAGGTTGTCAGGCCCTGTAAGTGCATATGAAATGCAACATTTTTCCCCTTATCAGTTTCAATAGTTTTGCACCTGGCTATAGCCAAGTACACTGTTTTTGACTTTTTTTCCCCACCATGTATCCTCATATAAACTTATTGCATTTAACTCCTTTTTGTGATCATGTGGGTTGTTTCTTTGTGTGCATGCACTATGAACTATAGGTAATATACTTATTCAATTAATCAATATGCTTATATACAATACAGTGAGCATCAAGAAGAATTGAACTTAATTGAAAATTAGTTTAGAGGAGAAGTTGCTTACAGTTTCACTTGTGCCTTCTGCTATATCTGCTATGGTTGCCACTTCTTCATGCAGCTGCTGAAAGAGAGAAAGTTGACAATGTATAATGATAATCTAGCGAACATCTTTTACTCTAATTTACATAGAGTATTGCACATAAAGTTTTCATAGTTATAATTAAGGACTTATTTGCTTTGTGAATGTGAAAGATTAGGTATCTATAATGGCAAAAGATGGCTATGTTGCTAAAGAGCATTTATGGTTGTTATTTACATTAATAAATTTAAAATGGGTAGAAAAGAAGATATTCTCACCTTTTCCTGTAGAGTTATCCCTTCATCTGTGATTTGTGAATGAGATGCTTTATCCTCACCTTCTCCTTCGAGTATGCCTTCATTGTTTTGTTCTGAAATAAGCTCCTTGCTGAAGGTTGTTGGTTCAGTATTTTGTTGTAGACATGACCCTTCAATCTCCTCTTGTGCTGCATTAAGATTCTTTTCTGCTCCATTTTGACAAATGGAATTTTTTGAGTCTGCATCATCTTTGACCGTTTCAGCTGTGCCATGCTGTTTCATTTGACTTGTGACTTCACATACTGCAGTGGTTTCATTCTCATCTGTATGTAGCCCTCTTGATGCTTCTGTAGAAACAGGCCCCTCACTTTCTTTTGGCAAATTTCCCTCATGTTTTGTGATCAAGTCACTGAGTGTTTTCTCAGGGTTTTCTTGAGCTTTACAAGCTGTACTCAGGTTACCATCAACTGTAGTATCCTGTTCTAAAATTTTAGACTGGTTACTATAATCATTGTCACTCGTGTTTATCTCCCCTTGTAGATCTGCTGTAAAGACTTCGCTTGGTGGTGAAGCTTCATCTAAGGTGGTCTTTTTGATTTCAGAAGCAACCAATTGGCTGCTTAACAAATCATCAACCCCATGAGCACTTTCTGTTTCCATGTCACTGCATGTTATTTGAGGGAAACATTCCTCTTTCTCTACCCTCTCATCCTCCTTATCGTCACTTGATTCCACTACCATAGAATCCATGTTCTTACCCTCTGGAATGAAAGGCTTGCCTTGCTCTTTACAGGCTTCTCCTGATTCCTCACTATCTTTCAAATTTTCTGTCAAATCAGCCTGAACTGAAATTTCCTCTGGTGCCTTGCCTTTGTCATCATCTTTATCTAACTCATTTGACACTTCTTCGGCTTCTTGTTGGGTTTCATTTAGTGGAATCCCCCTATTCAATATAATTCCCATGTCTTGACCATCACTGTTCTCTCCTTTGGAGAGCAACTTTTCAGGCATTTCATCTCCTGTCTTGCTTGGTTTTCCAATGGGTTCTTGAGACCCGTTATGTTCTTCAACAATAGCCTTGGAAATCGAGGGTAATTCAATCACATTTTCACACCCAACTGTTTCATTACTGCCTTCATCGCGTTTCAAGAATTCATGAGGGTTGTCAAACTCAACTGTCTTTTCTTCTGGGACAAGTTTATTAAACACCACCTCGGCTTCAACTGGCAAAGTTTTATCATCACTCTCTCTTTTCTGCACAAAAGAAAGAGGCATTTGCAGTTAAACACTTATATGTAATGTAAAAACTGAAGTAAGCTTCAAAGAGCATGCTTAATGGTAAGAAAGAGCATTGAAGTGTAAAATGTTACTTTCATACTGATTTCTATTACTTTTCCCTTGCTAGAGAGCATTTATGTTTGCACAGGAATCTGGCATAGAGTAACACACACACACACACACATATATATATATATATATATATATATATATATATATATATATATATATATATATATATATATATATATATAACTATTTAGTAGTTTTTTAATATCTAACAAATAAGATTTCCTTGATTATAATAACCATGTCCCTAGCATTTATTAGTATCCTCATATAAACTTCAAGCACTAACCCCCTTTCGGTGATCATGCAGGCTCTGTTTGTGTGGATGCACATGAACTATGAGGTATTACTCAAATAATCTATATGCTTATATGCAAGATGGCTTTGCACCAAGAAGAACTAACTTACAATGAAAATAAGTTTAGAGGAGAAGTTGCTTACAGTTTCACTTGTGCCTTCTGCTATATTTGCTATGGTAGCCATTTCTTCATGCAGCTGCTGAAACAGAAAAAAAAAAATGGCATGTATTGTGATGATCTTGTAAGCGCCTTTTACTCTAATTCATAGCACACTTAAATTTCATATAGCTATAATAGGGAGGAATTAATTACTTTTTGAATATGAAAATTAGGTATATGCAAATATTAGTAATGAGCGTAGATGGCTACGTAGCTAAAGTTGGTCGAAAACGACAAAAAGCTACTTGATAAAGAACAAAAGTGGTTGGTATCTATGTTAACAAATAAATAGGTAGAAAAGATGAAATTCTCACATTTTCATGTAGAGCTATCCCATCATTGATGTTTTCTGAATGAGAGAATTTATCTTCACTTTCTCCTGGTGAATTGTTAGGTTCTTCAATAGCCTTTGCAGCTGAGGGTGAATCAACGTCCTTTTCAACCTTAACTGTTCCATCATTATTGTCCTCATTTTTTTCCAAGAATTCACGAGGATTGTCTATCTCAACCGTGTTCTTTTCCTCTAGGGCTTGTTTATCCAACACTACCTTTGGTTCAATTGGCAGCATTTCATCTTCTGTGTTGATTGGTTTTTCAATGGGTTCTACTGAACTGTTGGGTTCTTCAATAGCCTTTTCAACCTCAACTGTTCCATCGTTAACATTGTCATTGTTTTTCAAAGATTCACAAGGATTATCAATCTCAACCATGTTGGTTTCCTCTGGGGCTTGTTTATCTAATCCTACCTCAGGTTGAACTGGCAGTATTTCATCATCTGTGTTGATTGTATTTTCAATGGGTTCCGCTGAACTGTTAGGTTCTTCAATAGCTTTTGCAGCTGAGGGTAATTCAACCGCCTTTTCAACCTCAACAGTTCCATCATTACCATCCTCATTGTTTTTCAAGGATTCACAAGGATTGTCAATCTCAACGGTATTTGTTTCTTCTGGGGTTTGTTGATCCAACACTACCTCAGGTCCAACCGGCAGCATTTCATCTTCTGTGATGATTGGATTTTCAATGGGTTCTGGTGAACTTTTAGGTTCTTCAATAGCCTTTGTAGCTGAGGGTAATTCAACTGCCTCTTCAACCTCAACTGTTCCATTGTTACCATCCTCATTGTTTTTCAAGTATTCACAAGGAATGTCAATCTCAACCGTGTTGGTTTCCTCTGAGGCTTGTTTATCCAACACTACCTCAGGTTCAACTGGCTGCATTTCATCTTTTGTGTTGATTGGTTTTTCAATAGGTTCTACTGAACTATTATGTTCTTCAATAGCCTTTGCAACTGAGGGTAATTCAACTGCCTTTTCAACCTCAACTGCTCCATCATTACAATCCTCATTGTGTTTCAAGGATTCACGAGGATTGTCAATCTCAACGGTGTTTGTTTCTTCTTGGGCTTGTTTATCCAACATTATCTCAGTTTCTACTGGTTGCTTTTCATCTTCTGTGTTGATTGCTTTTTCAATGGGTTCTTCTGAACTGTTAGGTTCTTCAATTGCCTTTGCAACTGAGTCAACAACCTTTTCAACCTCAACTGTTCCATCATTACCATCCTCATTGTTTTTCAAGGATTCACAAGGATTGTCAATCTCAACCTTGTTGGTTTCCTCTGGGGCTTGTTTATCCAATACTACCCCTGGTTGAACTGGCAGTATTTCATCTTCTGTGTTGGTTGGATTTTCAATGGGTTTTGGTGAACTGTTAATTTCTTCAATAGCCTTTGCAATTGAGGGTAATTCAACTGCCATTTCAACCTCAGCTGTTCCGTCATTACCATCCTCATTGTTTTTCAATGATTCACAAGGATTGTCAATCTCAACAATGTTGGTTTCCTCTTGGGCTTGTTTATCCAACAATACCTCAGGTTCAACTGGCTGCATTTCATCATTCTCTCTTTTCTGCAAAAAGAAAGGAATATCTTATTAATTATAATGTCAAAATTAAGGTCCAAGAGCTTGCCTGATAATGTTAACAGCATTCAAGTGCTAAATATTATTTTAATACTAATATCTGTTTATATTACTTTTCCTATGCTAAAAAGCATTTTTTTTTTTATGTTTAAATTTGATAAAAAGATTTTCAATCTTTTCTTTTTCTAGAGGGAGAGAGAGATAGTGAACATAATGCTTCCCACAAAGATAATGAATAAAAAAATCATTTATGTTTTATCAATTTATTCTTTAATCCTCATCATGCATCCTCATACAAACTTCATACAATCATCCTTTTAGTTATCATGCAGGTTGTTCCTTGTGTGAATGCACTATGAACTATTAGGTATTACTAGCTGGAATGATCAATCAATATGCTTATATGCATCAGAAGAATTGAACTTACAATGAAAATTAGTTTATATTATAGAAGTTGCTTACATTTTCACTTATACCTCCTACTATGTCTGTTAAGGTTCCCATTTTTTCATGCAGCTGCTGAAATGGAAAAAATTAGCTACGTATTGCGATAATCTTGTGAACATCTTTTACTCTAAGTTATGGTACACTTGAAGTTCACATAGCTATAACTAGGTAGGAATTATTTACTTTGTTAATGTGAAAGATTAGGTATATATAAGTTTTTGTAATGGCAGATGACTATGTGTCTAAAGCTGGTAGAAAAGAACAAAATGCATTCCTTTTTACCAGAATGCCTTTTTCTGTTCGTAATGGTTAGGTTCCTTATTCGGTTGTATATCTGTCAAAATCTTTGTTTTCCCTTCCTCCGAAGGTCTCTGGGTGTACTTGTTTCATATAGGATATCCATAACCAATGGGGAAAACTTTATCCTAATTCCTAAATCTCTTAAATGTGAATTCTTAGGGTATTCTCACACTTAAAAAGACTATAGGTGTTATTCTCCGGATTTAGGTCGGTAATTGGTATATGGTGTTACTTTCTTATGCCTTGTTCTCAATAAATTCTTCTGACTATGTCTCTACTCCAGTGTTAGAAGATGATTTCCTAACGTACAACATTACTGTTCCTACGTTTACTATTGGGTCTATTCTTAGAGTTACACCTCCAGTTAGACAAGTCTATTCTAGGCATCCAAGGGAAACGGTTGCACCGTTAGTTACATATGTGGGTACTCATCCCTTACCAGAATCTTCGTCAAATGATCTGGATTTTTTGATTGCCCTAAGGAAAGGTAAACTTAGTTGTTTTCATCCTATTTCTTTGTTCGTTTCCTATAAACATTTGCTGGTGTCTTCTCGTGCTTTTATGACCCAGTTAGATTCTATTTCTGTTCCTGAGACTTTGCACTTGGCTTTATCTCATGATGGAAGGAGGACTGCTATGGAAGAGGAAATGGCTGCTCTCTAGAACAATCAGACTTGGGATTTGGTTTATTTCCCAGCTCGTAAGTATGCTATTGGGTGCAAATGGGTTTTATGTTGTGAAAACAAACCCTGATGGTTTAGTGGCTAGATTGAAGGCGGTATTGGTAGCCAAGGGATATGCTTAAACATATGTGGAGTAGACTACATGCAGACCTTTTTTCTTGTAGCTAAGTTAATTTCTGTCCCTATGTTTATTTCTTTAGCTACGGTTAACCAACAAACATGGTATCAGTTAGATGTTAATAATGCCTTTTTGCATGGTGAATTGTCTGTGGAAGCTTATATGGAGCAACCACCTGGGTTTGTTACTCGGAGGGGAGGGGGGGGGGGGGGGGGGGTGTGGGAGGGTATGTAAACTGAAAAAGTCTTTATATGGTTTGAAACAATCTCCGAGAGTGTGGTTTTGGAGGTTTAGTAGTGTCATTATTGAATTTGGTCATACCGTGTTTTTCAAATGTACGAATCTTTGGTTTGTTTTGTTAATAGTATATGTTGATGACATATTGATCACATGAAGTGATGCAGGAGAAAAATTGAGGATACTAGGCCCCTTCATACTAAATATTCGTAAGTTTAGTATCCTCAAGGACCATTCATGAAATTAACTAAGTAATAAGCTATCATGTCCCTAGCATTTATTAGTATCCTCATATAAACTTCAAGCACGAAGCACTAACCCCCTTTTGGTGATCATGCAGGCTCTGTTTGTGTGGATGCACATGAACTATGAGGTATTACTCAAATAATCTATATGCTTATATGCAAGATGGCTTTGCACCAAGAAGAACTAACTTACAATGAAAATAAGTTTAGAGGAGAAGTTGCTTACAGTTTCACTTGTGCCTTCTGCTATATTTGCTATGGTAGCCATTTCTTCATGCAGCTGCTGAAACAGAAAAAAAAAATGGCATGTATTGTGATGATCTTGTAAGCGCCTTTTACTCTAATTCATAGCACACTTAAATTTCATATAGCTATAATAGGGAGGAATTAATTACTTTTTGAATATGAAAATTAGGTATATGCAAATATTAGTAATGAGCGTAGATGGCTACGTAGCTAAAGTTGGTCGAAAACGACAAAAAGCTACTTGATAAAGAACAAAAGTGGTTGGTATCTATGTTAACAAATAAATAGGTAGAAAAGATGAAATTCTCACATTTTCATGTAGAGCTATCCCATCATTGATGTTTTCTGAATGAGAGAATTTATCTTCACTTTCTCCTGGTGAATTGTTAGGTTCTTCAATAGCCTTTGCAGCTGAGGGTGAATCAACGTCCTTTTCAACCTTAACTGTTCCATCATTATTGTCCTCATTTTTTTCCAAGAATTCACGAGGATTGTCTATCTCAACCGTGTTCTTTTCCTCTAGGGCTTGTTTATCCAACACTACCTTTGGTTCAATTGGCAGCATTTCATCTTCTGTGTTGATTGGTTTTTCAATGGGTTCTACTGAACTGTTGGGTTCTTCAATAGCCTTTTCAACCTCAACTGTTCCATCGTTAACATTGTCATTGTTTTTCAAAGATTCACAAGGATTATCAATCTCAACCATGTTGGTTTCCTCTGGGGCTTGTTTATCTAATCCTACCTCAGGTTGAACTGGCAGTATTTCATCATCTGTGTTGATTGTATTTTCAATGGGTTCCGCTGAACTGTTAGGTTCTTCAATAGCTTTTGCAGCTGAGGGTAATTCAACCGCCTTTTCAACCTCAACAGTTCCATCATTACCATCCTCATTGTTTTTCAAGGATTCACAAGGATTGTCAATCTCAACGGTATTTGTTTCTTCTGGGGTTTGTTGATCCAACACTACCTCAGGTCCAACCGGCAGCATTTCATCTTCTGTGATGATTGGATTTTCAATGGGTTCTGGTGAACTTTTAGGTTCTTCAATAGCCTTTGTAGCTGAGGGTAATTCAACTGCCTCTTCAACCTCAACTGTTCCATTGTTACCATCCTCATTGTTTTTCAAGTATTCACAAGGAATGTCAATCTCAACCGTGTTGGTTTCCTCTGAGGCTTGTTTATCCAACACTACCTCAGGTTCAACTGGCTGCATTTCATCTTTTGTGTTGATTGGTTTTTCAATAGGTTCTACTGAACTATTATGTTCTTCAATAGCCTTTGCAACTGAGGGTAATTCAACTGCCTTTTCAACCTCAACTGCTCCATCATTACAATCCTCATTGTGTTTCAAGGATTCACGAGGATTGTCAATCTCAACGGTGTTTGTTTCTTCTTGGGCTTGTTTATCCAACATTATCTCAGTTTCTACTGGTTGCTTTTCATCTTCTGTGTTGATTGCTTTTTCAATGGGTTCTTCTGAACTGTTAGGTTCTTCAATTGCCTTTGCAACTGAGTCAACAACCTTTTCAACCTCAACTGTTCCATCATTACCATCCTCATTGTTTTTCAAGGATTCACAAGGATTGTCAATCTCAACCTTGTTGGTTTCCTCTGGGGCTTGTTTATCCAATACTACCCCTGGTTGAACTGGCAGTATTTCATCTTCTGTGTTGGTTGGATTTTCAATGGGTTTTGGTGAACTGTTAATTTCTTCAATAGCCTTTGCAACTGAGGGTAATTCAACTGCCATTTCAACCTCAGCTGTTCCGTCATTACCATCCTCATTGTTTTTCAATGATTCACAAGGATTGTCAATCTCAACAATGTTGGTTTCCTCTTGGGCTTGTTTATCCAACAATACCTCAGGTTCAACTGGCTGCATTTCATCATTCTCTCTTTTCTGCAAAAAGAAAGGAATATCTTATTAATTATAATGTCAAAATTAAGGTCCAAGAGCTTGCCTGATAATGTTAACAGCATTCAAGTGCTAAATATTATTTTAATACTAATATCTGTTTATATTACTTTTCCTATGCTAAAAAGCATTTTTTTTTTTTTATGTTTAAATTTGATAAAAAGATTTTCAATCTTTTCTTTTTTTTGAGGGAGAGAGATAGATAGTGAACATAATGCTTCCCACAAAAATAATGAATAAAAAAATCATTTTATGCTGTTTTATCAGTTTATTCTTTATTCCTCATCATGCATCCTCATACAAACTTCATATAATCATCCTTTTAGATATCATGCAAGTTGTTCCTTGTGTGAATGTACTATGAACTATTAGGTATTACTAGCTGGAATGATCAATCAATATGCTTGTATGCATCAGAAGAATTGAACTTACAATGAAAATTAGTTTATATTAGAGAATTTGCTTGCATTTTCACTTATGCGTTATGCCTCCTACTATGTCTGTTAAGGTTCTCATTTTTTCATGCAGTTGCTGAAATAGAAAAAATTAGCTACGTATTGTGATAATCTTGTGAACGTCTTTTACTATAAATTATGGTACACTTGAAGTTCACATAGCTATAACTAGGTAGGAATTATTTACTTTGTTAATGTGAAAGATTAGGTATATATAAGTTTTTGTAATGGCAGTAGATGGCTATGTATCTAAAGCTGGTAGAAAAGAACAAAATGCATTCCTTTTTACCAGAATGCCTTTTTCTGTTCGTAATGGTTAGGTTCCTTATTCGGTTGTATATCTGTCAAAATCTTTGTTTTCCCTTCCTCCGAAGGTCTCTGGGTGTACTTGTTTCATATAGGATATCCATAACCAATGGGGAAAACTTTATCCTAATTCCTAAATCTCTTAAATGTGAATTCTTAGGGTATTCTCACACTTAAAAAGACTATAGGTGTTATTCTCCGGATTTAGGTCGGTAATTGGTATATGGTGTTACTTTCTTATGCCTTGTTCTCAATAAATTCTTCTGACTATGTCTCTACTCCAGTGTTAGAAGATGATTTCCTAACATACGACATTATTCGGTCTATTCTTAGAGTTACACCTCCAGTTAGACAAGTCTATTCTAGGCATCCAAGGGAAACGGTTGCACTGTTAGTTACATACTTACATAGGTGGATATACCTCCCTTACCAGAATCTTCGTCAAATTATCTAGATTTTTTGATTGCCCTAAGGAAAGGTAAACATAGTTGTTGTCATCCTATTTCTTTGTTTGTTTCCTATAAACATTTGTTGGTGTCTTCTCGTGCTTTTATGACCCAGTTAGATTAGATTCTATTTCTGTTCCTGAGACTTTGCATTAGGCTTTATCTCATGATGGAAGGAGGACTGTTATGGAAGAGGAAATGGCTGCTCTTGAGAACAATCAGACTTGGGATTTGGTTTATTTCCCAGCTGGTAATTATGCTATTGGGTGCAATTGAGTTTTATGTTGTGAAAACAAACCCCGATGGTTTAGTGGCTAGATTGAAGGCAGGATTGGTGGCCAAGGGATATGCTCAAACACATGGAGTAGACTACACGGAGACCTTTTTTCTTGTAGCTAAGTTAATTTCTGTCCCCGTTGTTTATTTCTTTAGCTACAGTTAACCAACGAACATGGTATCAGTTAGATGTTAAGAATGCCTTTTTGCATGGTGAATTGTCTGATGAAGCTTATATGGAGCAACCTCCTGGGTTTGTTACTTAGAAGGAAAGGGGGGGGGGGGGGGGGGGAGGGGGGGGGGGTACGGGAGGGTGTGTAAATTGAAAAAGTCTTTATATGGTTTGAAACAATCTCCGAGAGTGTGGTTTTGGATGTTTAGTAGTGTCGTTATTGAATTTGGTCATACCGTGTTTTTCAAATGTACGAATCTTGGGTTTGTTTTGTTAATAGTATATGTTGATGACATATTGATCAAATGTAGTGATGCAAGAGAAATTGAAAATACTAAGCCCCTTCATACTAAAGATTCGTAGGTTTTGTATCCTCAAGGACCATACATTAAAATAAGCTATCATGTCCCTAGCATTTATTAGTATCCCATATAAACTTCAAGCACTCGCCCCCTATCTGTGATCATGCAAGCTCTGTGTGTGTGGATGAACAACTATGAGGTATTACTCAAATAATCTATATTCTTATATGCAAGATGGCTTTGCACCAAGAAGAACTAACTTACAATGAAAATAAGTTTAGAGGAGAAGTTGCTTACAGTTTCACTTGTGCCTTCTTCTAGATCCGTTATTGTAGCCATTTCTTCATGCAGCTGTTGAAACAGAGAAAAGATTGGCATGTATTGTGATGATCTTGGAAGTGCCTTTTACTCAAAATCATAGAACACTTAAATTTCATATAGCTATAATAGGGAGGAATTAATTACTTTCTGAATATGAAAATTAGGTATATGCAAATATTAGTAATGAGAGTAGATGAATATGTAGCTAAGGTTGGTCGAAAATGACAAAAAGCTACTTGATAAAGAACAAAAGTGGTTGGTATCTATGTTAATAAATTTAAATTGGTAGAAAAGATGAAATTCTCACCTTTTCATGTAGAGCTATCCCATCATTGATGTTTTCTGAATGACAGAATTTATCCTCACTTTCTCCTGGTGAACTGTTAGGTTCTTCAATAACCTTTTTAACTAAGTGTGATTCAACTGCCTTTTCAACCTCAACTATTCCATCATTACCATCCTCGTTGTTTTTCAAGGACTCATGAAGATTGTCAATCTCAACGGTGTTTGTTTCTTCTGGGGCTTGTTTATCCAATACTAGCTCAGGTTCAACCGGCAGCATTTCATCTTCTGTGTTGATTGGTTTTTCAATGGGTTCTAGTGAACTGTTAGGTTCTTCAATAGCCTTTGCAGCTGACGGTAATTCAACTGCCTTTTCAACCTCAACTGTTCCATCATTACCATCATTGTTTTTCAAGGATTCACGAGGATTGTCAATCTCAACCATGTTGGTTTCCTCTGGGGCTGGTTTATCCAACACTACCTCAGGTTCAACTGGCTGCATTTCATCTTCTGTGTTGATTGATTTTTCAATGGTTTCTACTGAACTGTTAGGTTCTTCAATAGCCTTTGCAGCTGACGGTAATTCAACTGCCATTTCAACCCCAACTGTTCCATCATTACCATCATTGTTTTTCAAGGATTCATGAGGATTGACAATCTCAACCGTGTCGGTTTCCTCTGAGGCTTGTTTATCCAACACTACCTCAGGTTCAACTGGCAGCATTTCATCTTCTGCGTTGATTGGTTTTTCAATGGGTTCTACTGAACTGTTAGGTTCTTCAATTGCCTTTGCAACTGAGTCAACTACCGTTTCAACCTCAACTGTTCCATCATTACCATCCTCATTGTTTTTCAAGGATTCAAAAGAATTGTCAATCTCAACCATGTTGGTTTCCTCTGGTGCTTGTTTATCCAACACTACCTCAGGTTGAATTGACAATATTTCATCTTCTGTGTTGAATGGGTTTTCAATGGGTTCTGCTGTATTGTTTGGGTCTTCAATAGCATTTGCAACTGAGGGTAATTCAACCGCCTTTTCAACCTCAACTGTTCCATCATTTCCATCCTCATTGTTTTTCAAGGATTCACGAGGATTGTCAATCTCAACCTTGTTGGTTTCCTTTGGGGCTTGTTTATCCAATACTACCTCGGGTTGACCTGGCAGTATTTCATCTTCTGTGTTGATTGGTTTTTCAATGGGTTCTGCTGAACTGTTTGGTTTTTCAATAGCCTTTGCAACTGAGGGTAATTCAACCGCCTTTTCAACCTCAGCTGTTCCATCATTACCATCCTCGTTTTTCAAGGATTCACGAGGATTGTCAATCTCAACCCTGTCATTTTCCTTTGGGTCTTGTATATCCAACACTACCTTATGTTCAACTGGTAATACTTCATCTTCTGTGTTGATTGGATTTTCAATTGGTTCTGCTGAACTGTTAGGTTCTTCAATAACCTTTGCAACTGAGGGTAATTCAACCGCCTTTTCAACCTCAACTGTTCCACCGTTACCATCCTCATTGGTTTTCAATGATTCACAAGGATTGTCAATCTCAACAATGTTGGTTTCCTCTTGGGCTTGTTTATCCAACACTACCTCAGGTTCAAGTGGTTGCATTTCATCATTCTCTCTTTGCTGCAAAAAGAAAGGAATATCTTGTTAACTGTAATCTCAAAATTAAGGTCCAAGAGCATGCCTAATAGTGTTAACAACATTCAAGTGCTAAATATTATTTTAATATTAATATCTGTTTGCATTACTTTTCCTATGCTAAAAAGCATTTGTTTATGTTTAAATTTGATAAAACGATTTTCAAGCTTTTCTCTTTCTTGAGGGTGCAGAGAGAGATAGTGAACATAATGCTTCCCACAAAGATAATGAATAAAAAACCATTTATGCTGTTTTATCAGTTTATTCTTTAATCCTCATCATGCATCCTCATACAAACTTCATACAATCATCCTTTTTGTTATATGCAGGTTGTTTCTTGTGTGAATGCACTATGAACTATGAGATATTACTAGCTAGAATTATCAATCAATATGCTTATACGCACCAAAAGAATTGAACGTACAATGAAATTTAGTTTAGATTAGAGAAGTTTCTTACATTTTCACTTATGCCTCCTACTATGTCTGTCAAGGTTCCCATTTCTTCATGCAGGTGCTGAAAGAGAGAAAAAATTAGCAATGTATTGTTATAATCTTGTGAACGTACGTCTTTTACTCTAAATTATGGCACTTGAAGTTCACATGGTTATAACTAGGTAGGAATTATTTACTTTCTTAATGTGAAAGTGTTAGGAATATATGTACTTAGATTTTGATGAGCCAAATTGTATTTTGGACTAAAAATTAAACCCCTTATTTCTTCGTACATTAGTCTCGTTCTTTTTTTATCCAAAAAAAATCTATACAATCGAGAAGCCAAGAACAAATTTTGGAGAAGAAAATTTGAAGAAAATATCATGAAAAATAAATTGGAGTATGGTTTGTGTACATGAGTTGAAGTTGTGAGTAGATAAGGTTGTGAAATTAATTGGAGCAGCTAAGGTTGCAAAGAGATTTAATTACAAGCAGGCAAGATTGATGTAGCTAAGGATGGAGATAATATTGTAGAAGCAGCTAAGATTAAATTGCAAACATCCAAGGTTGAATGTTTAATTGAAGCAGCCGAGGATGCAATTGAACAACAGAAGCAGCTCGCAGCTAAGGTAGTAACAAATTAAATAAGGAAGCAGTAGAAGTTGTAGCACCCGAGGTTGATGCAACCAAGGAATAAATTAAAAGGAAAAAGAGGTGAGATTGGAACAGCCAGGATTAAGAGCAGCTGAGGTTGCACAAATTAATTAAGGCAGGAGAGATTGCTAAATTAATTATGCAGCTAAGGTTGCACAGAAAATCAAAGAAGCAGAAGAAGTTGTAGCCGTGTTCCCAACAGCTCAAAAAAGCAGCTAAAGTTGTCAAGGAGCTAAGCTTAATTTAAAGAAGGAGCTAAGGTTGTCAACAACTCAATTTCAGGAAGGAGCCAAGGTTGTCAAAGATCTAAGGTTTGAGAACAGAAGTAATTAAGGAATGAGATGAGGTATGAGAACAGAAGGCAAACGATTCATGGAATTAACTAAAGATCTGTACATTTAGTATCCTCAAGGGACCATTCATGGAATTAACTAAGTAATAAGCTAACATGTCGCTATCATTTATTAGTATCCTCATATAAACTTCAAGCACTCGCCCCCTTTCTATGATCATGCAGGCTCTGTTTGTGTGGATGCACATGAACTATGAGGTATTACTCAAATAATCTATATGCTTATATGCAAGATGGCTTTGCACCAAGAAGAACTAACTTACAATGAAAATAAGTTTAGAGGAGAAATTGCTTACAGTTTCACTCGTGCCTTCTTCTATATCAGCTATGTTATCCATTTCTTCATGCAGCTGCTGAAACAGAGAAAAAATTGGCATGTATTGTGATGATCTTCTAAGTGTCTTTTGCTCTAGATCATAGCACACTTAAATTTCATATCGCTATAATAGGGAGGAATTAATTACTTTCTGAATATGAAAATTAGGTATATGCAAATATTAGTAATGAGAGTAGATGGCTATGTAGGGGGTTGTCGAAAATGACAAAAAGCTACTTGATAAAGAACAAAAGTGGTTGGTGTCTATGTTAATAAATTTAAATTGGTAGAAAAGATGAAATTCTCACCTTCTCATATAGAGCTATTCCATCATTGATGTTTTCTGAATGAGAGAATTCATCGCCACTTTCTCCTTTGAGTATCACATCATCAATTTTGTCTAAAATAAGCTCTTTCCTGAAGGTTAGTTCAGTATTTTGTTGTAAACCTGACCTTTCAATCTCCTCATGAACAACATACAGACTAATTTCTGCATTATTTTCACAAGTGGTATTTTTTGAGTCTGCATCGTCTTTGGACATTTCAGCTGTACACTGCTGTTTCACTTCACTGGTGCCTTCACATACTGTGGCAGTTACATTGTCATCTGTAGGTAGCCCTCTTGGTGCTTCCATAGAAGCCGGCTTCTCATGTTCTGTGATCATGTCACTGAGTTTCTCCTTGGGGTTTTCTTGAGGAAGACTACCATCAACCATATCCTTTTCTAAAATTTTGGACGGGTGGTTGTCATCATTGTCATTTGTGTTTATGTCCACCTTTAAAACTGTTTCAGAGACTTGAGCAGAATCTGCAAGCGGCTTTGGAATTACTAGTACTGCCTCATCTAAGTTGGTTTCCTCTAAGTCAACCACCTTTTCAACCTCAACTGCTCCATCTTTACCATCTTCATTGTTTTTCAAGGATTCTCGAGGATTGTCAATCTCAACCGTGTTGGTTTCCTCTGGGGCTTGTTTATCCAACACTACCTCAGGTTCCACTGGCAGCATTTCATCTTCTGTGTTGATTGCTTTTTCAATGGGTTCTACTGAACTGTTAGGTTCTTCAATAGCCTTTGCAACTGAGTCAACCACCTTTTCAACCTCAACTGTTCCACCATTACCATCCTCATTGTTTTTCAAGGATTCACAAGGATTGTCAATCTCAACCTTGTTGGTTTCCTCTAGGGCTTGTTTATCCAATACTACCTCAGGTTGAACCGACAGTATTTCATCTTCTGTGTTGATTGGTTTTTCAATGGGTTCTGCTGAACTGTTAGGTTCTTCAATAGCCTTTGCAACTGAGGGTAATTCAACCGCCTTTTCAACCTCAATTGTTCTATCATTACCATCCTCATTGTTTTTCAATGATTCATGAGGATTGTCAATCTCAACGGTGTTTGTTTCTTCTGGGGCTTGTTTATCCAACACTACCCCAGGTTCAATCGGCAGCATTTCATCTTCTGTGTTGATTGGATTTTCAATGGGTTCTGGTGAACTGTTAGGTTCTTCAATAGCCTTTGCAACTGAGAGTAATTCAACTGCCTTTTCAACCTCAACTGTTCCATCATTACCATCCTCATTGTTTTTCAAGAATTCACGAGGATTGTCAGTATCATCCGTGTTGGTTTCTTGTGGGGCTTGTTTATCCAACACTGCCTCAGGTTCAACTGGCTGCATTTCATCATTCTCTCTTCTCTGCAAAAAGAAAGGAATATCTTGTTAACTGTAATGTCAACATTAAGGTCCAAGAGCATGCCTGATAGTGTTAACAACATTCAAGTGCTAAATATTATTTTAATACTAATATATGTTTACATTACTTTTCCTATGCTAAAAAAGCATTTGTTTATGTTTAAATTTGATAAAAAGATTTTCAAGTTTTTTTTTTTTTTTTCTTGAGGGAGAGAGAGAGAGAGTGAATATAATGCTTCCCCACATAGATAATGAATAAAAAATCATTTATGCTGATTTATCAGTTTATTCTTTAATCCTCATCATGCATCCTCATACGAACTTCAAACAATCATCCTTTTTGTTATTATGCAGGTTGTTTCTTGTTTGAATGCACTATGAACTATGAGGTATTACTAGCTAGAATGATCAATCAATATGCTTATACGGATCAAAAGAATTGAACTTACAATTAAAATTAGTTTAGATTAGAGAAGTTGCTTACATTTTCACTTGTGCCTCCTACTATGTCTGTCAAGGTTCCCGTTTCTTCATGCACCTGCTGAATGAGAGAAATAATTAGCAATGTATTGTGAGTGCATGAAGAGAGAAATAATTAGCAATGTATTGTGATAATCTAAGATTGGGTCAAGGTCACTCAATTGGATTATAATAATGCACATGGGCCAAACCACACTACAAGACTGAATCCAATCAATTAGCTAGTCTAACGAATGACCTTATAAACCCATATGTTCTTTAATCTTGTGTACGTCTTTTACTATAAATTATGGTACACTTGAAGTTCACATAGCTATAACTAGGTGGGACTTACTTACTTTCTTAATGTGAAAGATTAGGTATATGTAAGTATTTGTAATGGCAGTGGATGGCTATGCATCTAAAGCTGGTAGAAAACAACAAAATTCCACTTGATGAAAAATATGAATAGTTTCATTCTGCTTTAAATAGATTTAAATGTGTAGAAAATATGAAATTCTCACCCTTTCTTTTAGAGTTGTCCCCTCATTGGTGTCTTCTGAATGAGATGTTTTCTCCTCACTTTCTCCTTGTGACACATATGGTGGAATGCCCTTATTATTCAATACAATCCCAAAGTCTTTACCGTCGCTGTCCTTTCCTTCTGAGAACAAATTTTCTTGAATTTCTTTTTCCGTTTTGCTGCATGGTTTCCCAATGTATTCTGCTGAACTGTAATTCTCTTCAGTAATAGCCTTGTGAGTTGACGATAATTCAGCCATCTTTTCACCCTCAACTGTTCCATCACAACCTTCCTGAGGATTGTTTTCCTCTGTGGCCAGTAGTTTGTCCAACCCTCTCTCAACTTCTTCTGACAAAGTCTTTTCATTAGTATCGCTTTTCTGCATACAAGTCAAAGGTATTTGCACTTAAATATAATCCACCATTCAAGTGTTAAATATACTTTCTGTTTATATTATAACTTTTTTGTGTCAGGTAGCGTCTTAGTTTTATGCTTCAAAACTGAGAAGGATGTTTTGATACATATACACTGTCATTATCATCTGGAGATAATATTTATTTTCTTCTACTTTCCATCTAAATCATCAAGAGCTTTCTTGGATTATGATTTAAGAATTAAGACTATTTCATTGAGTTTTTAAGATCTTTCCATCTAATTCTCTGCTTTAAATGGCTAGAAATGATGGAAATTCTAACCTTATCTTGTAGAGTTGTCCCATCATTGGTGTCTTCTGAATGAGTGGATGTTTTCCCCTCACTTTCTCCTTTGAGTATGCCTCCATCATCATCATCTTTGTCCAACACTTTTGATGGTTCCTCATCAGCTTCTTCATGAGGATTGTTTATTATTTCAACTTTCTTGTTTTCCTCTGTGAGTAGTTTTTCCAACACTATCTCAACTTCTTCTGGAATGCTCTTTTCATCATTATTCTCTCTTTTCTGCATACAAGTCATAGGTATTATTTGCATTTAAATCCATGCCTTGTATCAATAGAACAGCATTCATGTGTTAAATATACTATACTGTATTGTTCAAACTATTTTCTGCGTGTATAACTTTTGTAGGTTAGACAGATAGCATATTAGCTTTATGCTTCAAAAATCAAAACTCAACATGTAAGATGTTTGGTTCCTTCTTTTACCCTGAGAAAATATATAATGTGATAATCATTTATACGGAGTATATCATTATTGTCTGGAGACAATATTTATTTTCTTTCACAAATTAAACTTGCTGATGGACCATCTAAATTGTCAAGAGGTTTCATGCTGTATGGTATGATATACAATTATACATATATACTATACGATTATTTCATTTGAGTTTCTAAAATTATTTGAAGTCTAGCTTCCTGAGCATATAACCATTAATGTGCAATCCCACATGCTTTAATTTGGTATCAGAACCAGACCAAAGGTTATGGTTTTGAATCTCTCGGCCAACTATCAGTTTAACCTTTTAGTTGATATGGAGCACATGCTTCAATTGCCCTCGCCGCAAGTATCATATTTTAGTATGTAGAAGCACAATATAATGGCTTCCCAGGAAATCGTTAGTCAGTTTTTGACTTTAGTACACTCAAGTAACAATATAATTAATTGTAATGAATGTAAAAGTTAATTACTTGTACCCAAAAAAAAAAAATTGTACTTTATACTAATGTTGCTTACACTCGTTACTTGCACACTTGCACATATTACTTGCATTTTAAAGTTTAAATGATTTACAAAAATGTCAATGCAATTCTTTTAAAATTATTTATGATCCATTAGATCTTTTCATATAGACGACTCATATTAGTTTCTAGTAGTTTCTAGTTCTCTCATAGATGGCAATTCTTACCTCCAAATATGACAAACCAAGTTTTTCAACAATTTGTGATTCTTAAATTCATAAAGGGGTGTTTGGCAAATAGCTGATAACAGATTGACTTAGCTAATAACTGTTAGCGAATTGGGTTAGTGAGTTTGACTAGCCGATAGCATTAAGTAGTTGTAAAAAGATGTTTGATAAATTAGTTGTTAGTTACATGTAAAATGACATTTGGGTAATAATAATAATAATAATAATAATAATAATAACAATAATAATAATAATAATAATAATAATAATAATAATAATAAATAATAATTATTATTATTATAGAATTTATATTAAAAAAAATTAACATATGTGGAAGTCCGTGAACACTAATCAGTAATCACTTGTCCTGTTGTTAATTATCTTCATGGTACTAGGTAATGGGCTTATGAGTCTCGTCAATGGGCTCAAGCACCCCATTGCCAATCATTATTGTGTGGACCATGGTCCACACAAGTTGTATGGACCATATTTTGTATACAGTAAAATAATGTACATTCAGTATAAAAATAATGTACATTTAGTATATTAAAAATATATTTTTTGTTATGGTTTACATAACATTGTGTGGATCATGGTCCACACTATAATTTCCCCCCCCCCCCCCCCCCCCCCCCCCCCCCCCCCACTTGCCTAGTATCGACAATGAGAGTAACGGGATTGCTGAGTCCGTCTACATAGTCGCATTTATTTTTTTTAAATTATTATTGAGGGTGTTTTCGAGAAAATAATATATTTTTTAAAAAAGCTGGTCGAAAAAATTACTTTAAGTAGTTTTAAAATTTTAATGTTTTGAAGCAATAAATTGTTATAAAAAATTGATTGACCAATTATTCATTGATTGTTTGACCAAATAATCAAAATTAACTTCTTCTTTTTTTTTTTTTTTTGAGAAAAAAAAAAAAAAAAAGTACGTACTATGAAAACACCAACACTAAAAGTTAAACTTTTCGATATTGTCTCTTTTCCATCTGATTATTGATTTTTATATGTACTACTGTTACAATACTGTTAATTGTTTGATTGATTAAAGTCAACAACTTTCTACTACTAACTAACATATTTCACTAATCACTAATCAACTACCAATATCAAGTTGTCAGTGCATAATCATCATACTCATATCCTAGGTGGCTATCGGCAATTTCACTTATTATTTTTAATTACCATACTAACACATTTATATATAATATATGCTTAACTTATACTCCCATATGGAACTCATCAAGACTAAAGATTTGTCAGCATTTTTGTACTCCAATTCAACAATATAATTACGGAGTATAAACTAAATTAAATACAAAGTTTCAAGTTTAATCTTTATATATCATCAAAATTAAAAATAAAGATCAGAAGCTAGCTAGCTAGGATATGATGGCATGTACTACTGGAATTGAAACGAAAAAACTATTTATATTTAAGAGGAAAATTGAAGTGACTTACAGTCTGAGCTGCTGTTTCTGCAAAAGTGTCAGCAGCCACGGCGGTTGCCATTTCTCATGCAAAAAAGTTGAGAATTTTCTCGATCCGATCCGATCAGATCCCTTAACTTTATATTCTACATAAAGCTTGGGATTCATGGAACTGAGTTTATATATAAGTAGGGCTGGGAGATGTGAATTATTGAAATTTTAGGCATCATATCTGTAACTGATGATGCCTGGCCATGAAGTTAACGTTTGCAGAAGCTGACAAAATGCCACTTGTTTATGACATTACTTTTTGCTAATCTAATCTGCCAGATGTGTAATTCGTCATTGGTGGAAGATGATGATTCATATATTCACCTAATTATGTCTTTTTTCCCTTAAATATAATTAAATGAGTGATACCATTTTAATTACCATTCCATTCACTATTTCTTCTTTCAAAAGGTTGAATTCTCAATACCAAGGGCTCTCACACCCCGACCCGACAAAGCATTTGAGAGGATGTAAATCAGGGTGACTCAATGGCTCAACAAATAGGGCTAAATGCCGGTGCGCACAAGAGATCTGCCCACTTTGGACATAATCCCCACATTGTCGTCTGAATCTTGATTTCTTCTCCTAAATACTGCCTACTGAAATAGTGAGTTAAGCCCGTGCAAGCAAATTGGTTCCATTCACTATTTTATTCATTGAAACATGGTTCCATCTCAACTAAAAGTTCAAACTGGTAGATTTGACGGGCTAGCTCCACGTGTCCCATGATCTTTGACATTAGATCGGCTCAGATACCAAATTAAAACATGTGTTTCATCTCAATTAAAAGTCTAAGTTGATAGTTAGATTACACATTTATATTTATATATTATATTATATGCTCAACAATTGATTGTTTGAATTTTACTACCCAGAAGCCACAGCCAGAGCTTCATCATCTATCTTTACTTTTACATCCCTGTTTTGCGTCGCGTTTAGTGCATTTGCTTAATCAATACAAAGGTATTAAATGGAGCTTTTGTAATTTGTGATCATACAAAATCTTTCATAAAGTCTGTTAATTACATTGAACGATACTGATAGGGAATATAGTCCGGACTATGTGACCTTTTATGCTGAAGACCTGGTCGGATATGAGTCATCTCAAGGCAAGGGTCATTTCCCGATCTGACCAGACCTAAAACACTACCTCGAACCGGCCCGGCATGGTGATTAAATGTTCCAATGGCTTAAGAAGCCTCTGTCTCTATTCTTTTGTGATCGGTCCCGACCTGAATGATCTGTTGGGACCCCGAGCACCTATACTTTACCTTTAAAAGCTAACGCCGCCCACGCGCACAAGCCAAGCTCGATATTCCCTGGTCAATCAGATATCTCACTACACATATATGCTCTTCTATAGGCCCTCAAGGCTACCGGGTGCATGAGAGACATGTGGCGCACATGCCGATCTCCCGCATGTGTCCCCTCAAATCCTCTATAAATCCTCCTTTAGACGCTTGTAGAGGAGATTTTTGGCTCTTTCTCTCAAGAGCCTTTGCAAGCTTGGGAACCTCTGATCCTTAAACTTCAATCCCAAGCCGCTATCCTCAAATATCATAAGACAATACATCCAAATAATTATACCCGATGAAATTTACCACATCGCATACTATTTAACCTTTTAAAAAAAAAATCTTATTACATAACTTGACTCAAATAAGTTGATAAATACCTAAACTTATCTTAATACATGTGGAAAGTTTTTTTTAAAGAGAATTAACTTTAAAATTTCCAGTTGTATGAAACAAACATTATTTTAATACATTATTACATTGTTTAAAAAAAAAAAAAAAAGTTACTGCACACCATATTGCAATTAGATTATCAAACTCAAAAAATTCAAATTAGGTCTTTGGATAACGCAAACTCATGCAATTCAATCCAAAATGACTTGTTTACTTGAAAACATGTTGACGTGTTGGTTAAAAAATAATGTTTTAAATAATATTAAATAAAATAATTATTTACTTTTTATATTAAAAAAAAAAAAAAAAAAAAAAAAAAAAAGCCATTCAACTCTAGCGGAGACGAATGGGTGATTTGTCTCAGGCCGTCTTCGTGGCCATGGAGACGGCCTGGATGAAGCCACCTTCGTCTCATGGCAATGGAGACGAAGCCACCTTCGTCTCATGGCCATGGAGACGAAGGGGTCGGCTACGTCTCTGGTCTGGGAGACGGCAGGAGACGAAGGGCCTTCTTAGTTTTTTTTATTAATTTTATTTTATGTTTTTAAATTTTAAATAATTATTTTATTTAAAATTATTTTAAAAATTATTTTTAAATTCAGTAACCGTTATGTTAGCATATTTTCGGGTAAAAAGTTATTTTGGATTGAATTGCATTAGTTTGCGCTGTTTTGGGACTCAATTGCATTTTTTTAGTTCGATGGTCTAATTGTAATTTGTTCTGTAATTGAGTGACCTATTTGACTCTTATTTTAAAAAAAAAAAAATATTACAAAAATAAAATTGTTTGCTGACAGTACAAATCTTTTTGTTCACCACTAGGTTGGCCAACTAGACAACAAATTAATACACACCAATTATATGGTCAAATGATGCACGTACACTTAAGAAAATATTTTTCTTAAAGTAGAGAAAAATGTTATTTTTTGGTGTTTGGTTCATGGAATTCATTTTCCATTGAAAAATGAATTTCTCAAATTTGAGTAAAACAAAATTCTTGTTTGGACCAAGGATTTTGTTTTCCATGAAAGATGAGAAGAAAAAATAATATGATTTACCTATTTTACCCTTGTTTTCTTTCTTAGTTATATTACTCTTATTAATTTGTAGGGGCATATAAGTCTTTATACTCGTTATTCCTTATAATTCCAAATCTAACCAAACAATAGAATTAGTTTCTCCAACCAAACAATGAAATTCATCTTCCTAGTAATTATTTTTCTATGAAATTTCAATTACATTTCCCTTAAAATATTTTTCGCGAGTCAAACGAGCCTTAATTATGACAATCCACACCAAATTTCTAAATATTTTAAATAATAATAAGATTAACAATTTAGGAGTAAATAAAATAATCTATAACCGTCCCTGCGAGCTATTTCCTTATGATATTGGAATATTCGGATGCATGACGTGTACTATTAGAAGTGTCAACGTTCCACGTCAGGAATCCGACGTGGAAAGGAGTTTAAATAATTGTCCTAATACAAATAATTTAACGTTGGAAGATAAAATTAAAGATGGAATATATATGGGATAGATGAGACATCATTATTGAAATCGCAAATGGGATGATGGAATGTGACAGAGCAGAAGGAAAGCAGTGCATGTGTAGGGGGAGGTGGAAAAGCAATTGAATACAAAGAAAGAAGAACGTTAGTCCGACCGACCAAAACAAAATTTCATTGTCTCCTTCGCCGCCCTCTTATGTGGATAACCTCTTCCGATCCCTATTCTTTGTTTACACCAATTATATTATTAGTTTTTTTTTTTTTTTTTTTTAGTACGGTAGAGGGGATACCGGCCCAACGGGAAGACCATTAAGCTAAGACCGTGCGGTACTTAATCGCACTTGTCATGTCTGTCAAAAATAAACGGTCAAGGGGATGCGAGGCAGACTAGAAGATCATGCAACCACGATTAAGACTTCCATCGAGCTTTGAGAGCCCGAAAGATCTTTTTCATAGGCACTTCTCAATCCTGTTTGAGAAGCTCCTTGCACTTCATCGCAAGGTTGTATGATGGACTTGCAGTCATCTCCCCATCTTGTAGGAGGTTGTAGCATTCCTCGGAGTCGATTTCAAGAATAACCCTTTTGCATTGCATCCCTCGTTCCAGGCGATTTCAATGTAGGAAAAAATAAGTCGATAAATCAATTTCTATAAAATATTAATAATAATATGATTTGAATTTTAGAAAATAATTCTAAAATGTCAATGATACAAAAACAAAGAAAATATAAGTTTTGTGTAACATACATTTTCCTTGATTCGCTACCTTCTGAGAATACAATACTAGGACGTTGTAGCGTCATTTTCCCAAGATAAAATGAATATGGATTACAACAATATTTTTTAGCACTCAAAAATAATGTTATTGGCAAACTAGAACAACAAGAGAGCGCTTCATAAATTGTGCTTGCTGAAATTTTGTTTGACCACACCGCAAGGTACATTTGACTTTTCCATTTTTCAATTTCAAATGGGTTTACTTTGAGAATCAATTTATCCTTTTTCGCTACACCTACACTATTCACCTTTCAGTAAAAACATTTTTCCTATTTGAACACGTCATTAACTGCTTTGACAGAGGACAAAAAGCATGTTTACTCCTTGTCAGAATATATCTTGTTGTTAGATGTCTTTGGAGTGCGTGTCCAACAGCGAGAAAGAACAAAAGGCATTGCTCGTATGTTGCGTACATCTCTACCAGTTGACCTTGACAAGGTATGTCGAACTCGGACTTAGAACTTCTTACATGACTATGGTCAATGATAACACATCTACCAGAAGACCTTAACAACAAATAATTTAGGTCTACCGTTTGACGTTCCTATATTGAGAGAAGTCTAGCAAGTAAGGCATAAACCTTTGCTTATTAAGAGAAAAACTCTTACGGTTTATACATACAAAGCGAATGGAGAGTCTAAGTTCCTAATATACAATTAGTAACATAATCAAAATTTATTCAATAATAATTCCTAACAGTTTTCTCACTTGAGCTCATGTTCTCACATGATGTGATGCATATATATAGTGGTGAGATTAGATGTCTACTTGGCTTGCCATGCAAACATGTGAACCAATCAAAAAATCCAAAAGTCAAAATCAATAGCGGTAAATTAAAATCGATTTGAAAATATAGTGAAATAATTGTAATTATGTAAAAATTTTAATAGATAACAAAAAGAGAAGTTAACATTATTAATTCTAGGTGCATAATACTTAGGTTAATTCACTTTTAAAATTTCTGTTGTGCACATTCAAAGTTTATGAAATCTTAGTTCTAAGTGTACATAATGTTTAAGTTGATGCATTTTTAGAGTTTCTATTATGGACTTTTAAAGTTTTTAATTTGTAGTTTTAATTTTAAGTATGCACATAATGTTCATGTTAATATACATTTAGAGTTTCAAAAACAAATCATGAGTATTTCAAAACCCAAAAAAAAAAAAAAAAGTATGCATAATGTTTAGGTTTGTATA